AACCATCTGACCAGGACAATACTATCCTATATAATAAAAGACTAATATGCAAATCGACCGAACAGCAAAATGACTGGTTGCTATGATGCGCACTGACCACCAGGGGGCAGATGCTCAACACAGGAGCTGCCTCCTGGTGGTCAGTGCACTCCCATAGGGGGAGCACTGCTCAGCCACAAACCGGGCTCACAGCTGGCGAGCGCAGTGGCGGTGACAAGAGCCTCTCCCACCTCTGCTGCAGCGCTAAGGATGTCCGACTGCCAGCTTAGGCCCGCTCCCTGGCTTCCTGAGGCAATTAAGAGAGCGCAGGCAGGGCTGAGGGACCCCCCTCACCCTGAGTGCACAAATTTCATGTGCTGGACCTCTGGTAGATTTTAAAAGGTTAATGAATATTATACCCATTCATTACTTAAATTGAAAAGTGTCTAGCCCAACCAGTGTGCTCAGTGGTTGAGAACTGACCCATGAACCAGGAGGTCACGGTTCAATTCCTGGTCAGTGCACATGCCTGGATTACAGGCAAGAGGCAGCCAATTGATGATGCTCTCTCATCATTGATGCCTCTATCTCTCTCTCCCTCTCCTTTCCCCCTCTGAAATCAATAAAAACATATTTAAAAAAACTTTAATGTCTAAAGTGGAATTATCTTCATGCATGCAGAGAATCAATATTTTATAGCAAGCAATATTAAAGAAAAGAACATTTCCTCACAAAATACTAATCTGCCAAACTCTGTCATTAGAATTCTTACACATATGTGAGGAATGCATAACATTCACATAATTGAACTTTTACCAAATAAAAAGGAAACTGATAGGATACTTACATGACATCTAGCTGCAAGGTAGCGGCAAGATTCATACAACTAGAAAAGAAATTAATCTATTAAAATAGTGGTCAAGATACTGTGCATCTTCACTCTAAAAGAAAATTATGAGGATGAAATAACGCTATTTTCATAATTTCTCCTTTTACTCTTGTAGAGAGAAAAAAAAATCCAGCCTTTTTTAACCCCTACACACCATAAACCTACTGTTTACTAGGCACTGAAGAGTCAAAAAGGAGCGAGGGCCTGCCCTCTGGGAGGTTACAGCAGGGGAGACACAAACACAGCAGTTTCTTTCACAAACGGAAAGAGGGCATAAAGAGTACTTGCCACTTGAGGAAGAAAACATCTGCAGGGGAGAAGGTAAGTGAGGAGTTACTCAGCATTCTAGGCACTGAGTCTGAATAATCGCCACTAGTACAAGGTAGTACAAGTATTCAGCGCATATTACGTATGCTGATGATGGTAGGAGGTTAGAAGTAGACTGGTGAGCAATCATAAAGGAGTCTATTCATGCATCTGATCTTATCCTGTAGGAAATGGGAAATCACTGAACGATAATGTCAGTGGCACCACCAGATCTGTGTTTCAGAAAGACCACCCCTGTGAGAGTTTAAAAAATGAACTGGACTCGGAAGGTGGGGAGTGGGAAAGATGTTACTGGAGAAAAGAGACAAGAGAAGAGACGAAAACAACAAAACAGACAAATTAAAGGCCTGACATGTATGAGTGGTAACAAGGTAGAAAGGACTATCCATAATTTCAGAGCTATTTTAGAAAACAGAATTTTCAAAACTTGGTGACTAAAGATGGGGAAGGAAAAACAAAGTGACTGAGATTAGGAATAGCCAAATTAAATCCTTTTAAATAATTTTCACATAAAACAAACACCTATGATACTAATTTAAGGATACTATTCTTAAAAAGCTTTGAAAAGCTTTAACGTTCATACAATCACTTACTTTATCTAGTTTTCGTGACCGAAGTGCATGAGCTGCTCTATGATATTGTGCTGTCAGGTAAAGACACTGAGCCAACCAATAAATGTCCTGGGGTTCCTCTGGAGGGAAAAATTACATAATTGGTCAGAGGTACAAGGTAAAATAGAAAGATTTTTAAAGATAAAGAAATTTTAAAAAAATAGGATTTGTCACTTACCATGAGAGAGTGAAGCTACTTTATCGGCCCAAAATAGAGCACTTTGATACTGTTGCTGTATAAGAAAAAAGTGATAATTTCCCTGTTATTTCAACTTTTAAACAAATATCTAATACTATTAGAATATGATTCTTTTTTTACATGTAGTAGGGGTCTATCAATTATATCTTTATCTTATATCTCAGCTAGGTAAGTTTTAGTTCAATGGTATAATTAAAAAAATTATTGTAAGATCATTATATATACAGGTCAACAAGGCAATGTTTAAAAATAAACTTACATACTGCAAAAATGTATCAGCAGGTACGAGCATAAAAACAGAGACAAAGATCAATGGACTAGAATAGAGAGCCCAGAAATAAATCCTCACTTACTAGTATATGGTCAATTAATCTATGACAAAGGAGGCAAGGATATACAATGGGGTAAACATGGTCTCCTCAATAAGTGGTACTAGGAAAAATGAAGACACATGCCAAAAAAAAAGAGAGAGACATCAGACCACACGCAAAAATAAACTCAAAATAGATTAAAGACTTAAATTTAAGAGCTAAAACCATAAAACTTCTAGAAGAAAACATAGGCAGTAAACTCTGACATCACTCTTAGCAATATCTTATTAGATATATCTTGGACAAGAGCAACAAAAGGAAAAAATAAACAAAATTCAACTACATCAAAATAAAGTTTTTTCAGTGAAGAAAACCATCAACAAAATGAAAAGACGACCTACTAAATGGGAAAAAGTATTCACAAGCGATACATCTGATAAGGTGTTAATATCCAAAATAATACAAGGAACTCATACAACTTAACACCCAAAACACAAACAATCCATTAAAAAATGGGCAGAAAACTTGAATACACATTTCTCCAAAGAGGACATACAGATGCCCAATAGACATGAAAAGCTGCTTAAGGTCACTAGTCACCAGGGACATGCAAATTAAAATAAAAATGAGATATCACCTCACACCTGTCAGAAAGGATATCATCAATAAATCAACAAAAAAGTACTGGTGAGAATGTGGATAAGAAGGGAACCCTTGTACACTGTTGGTGGGATTACAAATTGGTGCAGCCACTGTGAAAAACAATATGGAGTTTCCATTAAAAATGAAAAACAGAACTACCTTATGACCCAGCAATGCTGCTTCTGGCCAAGCCCTGGGTATTTATCCAGAGAAAACCAAAACACTAATTCAAAAAGTTACGTGCACCCCTATGATCATTTCAGGATACTCACAACAGCCAAGATATGGAAGTAACCTAGTGGACATCAGGAGATGAGTGCACAAAGAAGATACGGTGTGTGTGGTGGGGGGCGGTTGGGGGGGGGGGGGCATCCCAAAAAATGTATGCACACTCTCTGAATAATTATAAAGGCTGTGTTTATTAAAATACATTTCATTTTCAGAACTGAGCTATCAGCTGCTCAAGTGTGTGTCCATTCCTTGGGACACCCTATGTATATAATATTACTCAGCAGTAAAAACAAAGATTGAAATCTTGCCATTTGCAACAACATGTATGGACCTAGAGGGTAAGTGAAATAAGTCAGACAGAGAAAGGCAAATATCGTATGGTTTTACTCGTAAATGGAATCCAAAAAAATACAAAAAACAAAAAACACACCCCAAAACAGAAACAGACCCTTAGATATAGAGAACAAGCTGATAGTTGTCAAAGGAGGGGGCTGCGAGGATGGGAAAGAATAGTTTTAAAAACAGAACAAAATTATGAGCAGGTATCTTAAAACAGTAGGACATTTAGGTGATTATTTTGCAGCAGCTAGTCACTAGCAGTGGTTCTCAATTTCTCTACAACCCTTGCCTCAGTCCTCCGGGATTCAAATCAGGAGCTCAGCTGCCCAAGTGGGAGGAGGAATGCTGCCAGGTAGATGGTTACAAATCTGCTCAATGTTAAGGCGGGACCCAGGCCTGTCTCATCCCGCACAGCACCCCGGGCGCCAGCGGAGAGTGCTCGGGAGCATGTGTGCAGCTCACTGGCTCCCGGTAACCGAACGGCGCCCTGCGGACACCCGGCAGCAGCGTCTCACAACCCAACCTGGACGTCTCACTGAACAGGCTTTCCCTCCCTCCCGTGGCTTCCAATCTGTTGGGAGAGCGTGCATTTTACTAAAACTTAAGTGACATCCTAGAATCTAGGACCTAGATTATTAAACTGATGCTGCTGATTCTGGAGACGCTTCTGTCCGTAAGCGCTGCTGGCTGCTCACTGCAGGGCGGTGCAGGGAACACAGATGTAGTTTCCGGCGCTGATTTGAGGCCACGGGCTTGTCGGTATCTTTATTTCGCTTAAATTCGGCCCCATGAGAATGACAACTTCTCCCACATTTTCTACTAGCTAGCGAAATTCAAAGGCCACCCTGCAGCTTTCCTCCTAAAATAATGCTTCAATTTCCACTCGGCAGCAAGTCGGCAGTGAGCACCTACTGTGTGCCCGGGAGTCAGGCGGCGGCCGGCCGGGCCTCGGGTGCCGGTAAGGCTCCCCCTGCGTTTAGGGGGCTTTCTTCCATTTTCCGGGTCCCTGGTCCTCCCGGCTGCAGAGACAGCCCAGGCCCGGCCGAGCCCTGCACCACCGAACCCCAGACCGCAGTTCCCCCGGAGGAAAAGGGCCGCGGCGGGCTCCCCTCACGAGTCCCGCGGCCCGCGCTCCCCGGGTCGGCCCGCCCACCTGGTCCAGGTACTGCCGGACGCGCTTCCGCAGCCGCTCCAGGTTCATGGCCGCGCTGCCGCTGCCGGGGGTCCGGACGAGCGCCCCCCACCGCGCGCCTTCCTTCCCGCTGCCCGCGGAGCAGACCCGGAGCCCAGCCCCGCGCCGCGATCGCCCTAACCCCGGCTGAACTGACAGGACCCGCGCTGCAGCCGCCGAGGTCTTTCCGCTCCCGGCCAGGCCGCTCCCCGGAAGTCCTCCGCAAAGGCGTCCCCTCCGGCGCCAGAAACTGGCGTCGCGCTGTTTGGTTCCGAGGCGCTCTCTGAGCCGTGGGTGGCCGGGGTCTGTGGGTGACCTGGACGCCTTTGCTCTGCGACTGGGGTGCCCGAGCCCGTGCAGCCCATTTACATGTCCCCGCATCGTTCACGCGGTGACTGGTTCTCGGCGGGGCGCGGGCACCCGGGGTCCAGGCCTGGCTTTGAGTTCAGCCTCGTTTCCCTGGTGTTGGGTAAGTTCCCCGGTTCCGATGTGCCGCGTTTTTCTCACGTGGAAAATTAACGGTACCCACCGCAGAGACTGATCGTGAGGGTTAATAAGCGCTCACTTGATGTATATAAACTTTTACTATTGTCGCATCCAAGTGTCTCTTTCAGATTGTCTTTTGGCATACAAACCCGAAAGGTAAAGAACACTGTGATAAAAAAACAAAAACTAAAAAAAACTTGATCTAGTCAAACTTTGGATCCATACAATGGAATATTATGCAGCAATAAACATGAATTACGTGTTGACACGTGCAGCACGCTTAGTGGAAGAAGCCAGTCACAATGGCCCCACGCTGTATGATTCCACGGACAAAGATTCTCCCATCCACCAAACCTTACGCAAGCTCCCTTATCAGGAAAAAGGCTGAACTCTTTACCAACAGGCCTGACTTTTGGACTTGCATGTTCTTTTATGTGTCATCCAATTTTACTAAGAATTCTGTCAGTTTAGCCAGAATTCCCCTCCCATACGTCAACAAATGCCTCTCCCCCTTCCACTCCCCAGATGATGTCTGATCACCCTGGCCTGCCTTCCCCAAGAATTCTGTGAGATCAGTTTAGACAGAATCTGAGGGCAAATGCTGGGGTAGAATGTGAGAAGAGGAACATAAATAGAATTTCCTCCATTAGTCAAACCACCCCTGAGCTTGTAAACATTTGGCAGAGTTCTCATTTTGGTTCCGAGGCACTCTCTTAGCCATGGGTGGCCCTAACCTTCAATCTAAAATGGATCTAAAATGGATCTATCTAAAATGGATCTCACCAAGCTCATGTCAAGGTGTGGACTGGACTGTTTTCCTTCAAGCGGCTCCAGTGGAGAGTACAGTTCTTTGCCTTTTTCTGCTTCTAGAGGCCATCAGCATTCATTCGTGGCTTCTTCCTCCAACTTCATTGCCAGCAGAGTAGCACCTTCAAGTCTCTCTCTGACTCTGAGCCTCCCTCCTGCCTCTCTCTTTCTCTTACAAGGACCTGGTGATTATGGTGCACTCCTCCAAATAACCCAGAATGGTCGCCTCATTTAAAATCCGTAATCACACCTGCAAAGTCCTTTTTGCCATTTGAGGTAGCATATTCACAAGTTCAGGAACTAGACGTGGGCACCTTGGGGGCTGTTATTCTTCCCACCACATTACCTAACCATGTCAGCCACCCAAAGGAATGTCTTTATTACAACTAGGTATATATACGGATCAAAGAAAATTCACCCTTCCAACTGGAAACAAACTCAAAGTACACGGACAACCTTTTCCAGGACCATCTTTTCTATCCAACACTGTAGCCAAGTGATTTACCTACTCCTTATTCGAGGACTGCTATGGGGTGGGGAGGGAAAATCTCTTAAATGCAGCCAGAGGCACAAGTGTAATAAAAATGAAGGCCAAGGAAGACCTATGAAAAAACAGAACCATCCTGCAGGGCCACACCATGGGGGCGACAAGTGTGTTGTTTGGTGAGAAAGGGGGCACTGGAGTTAAACTGCCTTGGTTCAGATTTTGGGGAAGTTTCTCAACCTCTCTGTGTGTCATTTTCCTCATCTGTAAAAGGGGGATGGTAATAGCTCATACCTATAGCAGGGGTGGGGAACATCCGGCCCGTGGGCCATGTAAGTCCTGGGAAATGATTTAGTCTGGCCCTGGCAAGGCATTAAGGGTGAGTTAATTAAATGTTTGACCAAATATAGCAGGCTAATTTTTAAGTTGATAATTTTGTATGACCCATGGATGATGTCATAAATATCCAAATGGCCCTTGCAGAAAAAAGGTTCCCCACCCCTGCTTTATAGGATTGATGCATGTAAGATAATTAATGTAAAGTGCTTAGAATAATACAGAAACATATTCTTGTAATTATAAATAATGTAGGGTAGGGAAAAAGAAGGTTTACAGTTGTGAATACATGAAAGAGCTTATTCTTGTACTATTATTTATTATTGTATTATTTTCCATGTGAATAACTGTAAACCTACTTTTGCCCCATACTGTGTCTATCTATATATTGAATTGCATTACATTATACATTTTTAATTTAAATCATTTTTTATTTTTTAATTACAGTTGACATACATTAGTATGTTCATTTCAGGTGTACAACCCAGTGGATTGAAAATTATATAATTACTAAGTGATCATCCCAATGATTCTTGTACCCATGTGGCACCAATAGATAGTTATTTAAATATTATTGACTATCTTCCCTATGCTGTACTTTACATCCCCATGACTATTCTGTAACAACCAATTTATACTTATTAATCCCTTCACTTTTTTCACCTATACTCCCAACCCCCCCTCCCATCTGGCAGCTGTCAAAATATTCTCTGTATCTATGAGTCTGTTTCTGTTCTGCTTATTTTGTTTTTTAGACTCAACTGTTGATAGACATGTATTTATTGTCATATTTTTAATATTTTTTTTCTTCTTCTTAAAGAAGAACCTTTAACATTTCATGTAATACTGGTTTGGTGGTGATGAACTCTTTTAGTTTTTTCTTGTCTGGGAAGCTTTTATATGTCCTTCCATTTTAAATGATAGCTGTGAACCAAGGTTGGCTGCTGATAGTGGTGGACCTGGGGCCACTGATTGTGAGGTATAGGGCATGTTAAGGCCAGACGCTGCTTGTTTGAGAGATTTTAGGAGAGCCTGAAGCATGAGCCAAGACAAGTTGTTCATATGGAAAAGCCACTGAAAACAGCTTGGGTGGGCTCCCAGGTTGGGTGGGGCAGGGTCTCAGGGAATCACCAGGGGTGAACAGTGTGAACTTGGTTGATAGAGACTCAGATATGGTGCCCCTCTTCTGGCTCTGTGAGGGGGTTGGGGCTCAGAAAAAGAATAATGGCCTCTGCCAGAAAGCTGCCCCTGCCCCCAGCTCTTACCATGATGCCAGCCAATTCAGTTTCTCCCCATATGACCCTGTTTCAAGCTACTGCCCCAGTGATAGAGCTCAAAGGGAATGAGTCCAAGTAAGTACGTGTGCAGGCCCTTTAAGAGGAACTGCTTGGGACTCCAGCAGCCTGCTGTCTTAGTCACAATCCCTGCTGGTTTTTACAGCCAGAAGTCATGGGGACTTCTTTTCCTGGCACTGGAACCCTGGGCTGGGGGGCAAGTTATGGGGCAGGGACCCTCACTCCTTAGGGGATACAACTGAGATATTCCTCTGGATTTTTATCCACCACAAGTGGGTGTGGGACCAGCTCCTTCCACATGTCCGCCCCTCCTGCTAGTCTCGATGTGGTGTCTTCTTTAAATCTCTGGTTGTTGGACTTCCACGGATGGTCATTCTAGTTTAGTTGTAATTTTGGTATGGTTTTGGAAGGATGTTAATACCACATTTACCTACTCTTCCATCTTGACCAGAAGCCCCTACATTATATTATTAATTGCACTTATTAGTAATGATAGTAGTAGTAGAAGTTTTGCTAATAATTCTAAGAGACACAAATTAGCAGCATGAAAATCTGTCTTAGCTATTTCTCAGGGTCTGCTTCAAAATTAGACTATTTGCCCTGGCCAGTGGTTGCTAAGTGGTTAGAGCCTCGGCCTGTGCACCACAGGGTTGCTGGTTCAATCCCTGGCCACAGTTGGGGTATGTGTGGGAGGCAACCAATTGATGTGTCCCTCTCACGACATTTTTTTCTCTCTGTCTCTCTCCCTCCCCCTCCCCCTTCCATTTTCTCTAAAAAAATCAATGAAAAAAATACCCTCAGATGAGGATTAACCACAAAAAATTTAGACAGTTTGTCCAGTTCCATTTGAGGTCCTTGTGCCAAGACAGTTTTTATTTACCTTCTGGCCTGCTTAACTCTATGGGATGACTAAAAAGCAGGTTTGCCAAACAAAGTTTCTGGGACCTCAGATAGGCCTAGAATTTCTCTATTGTAGTAAAGGTGGCCAGGCAATTTGTCATAGCTGATTTCATGCTTAGAGTTTTTACTGAGCATTTTTTAATTAACCTAAATGTCCTAGTTAAAGTCTTATGTTTGAGATGAGTAATTAGTAAAATCACAAATATAGCCTTAAATTTTCTTTTCATCAAACTTATTTTTTAAAAGACAAAATAAAATAGTGAATTTAGTTTGAATTACAAGCTCTTGGTATCTTGATCATGTTGACATTACCCAGATGTGCTTGAAGTTCATACATCTTCTATTTCATTCTGTGCAGCCAAGCTCTCAAAATGTTTTCATGTCTTAAAATCTTTGCTGCAAAAGATTTAATAATGTAAACACATACCCTTGAGGGCACAATTTATCGCTTCTTTTTTCCCCCCAGTTTGTTCTTTTCAGCTCTTGACGGCAGCTCCAGAATCCTCTCCACAGCACTCAAATCAAGACGACTCAGTGACATTCGACTATCTGAAGAATCTAAACCTTGGAACACTTCATTTCAAAGTCCTAACAAGCTTTAAGGAATAACCAATATCCATATGAGACTCCCCCCTCTTCTAAGTCCCTTCCTGTGTAGCATATCTTTCACCTCGCACCTTCCTGTTTTGTGGGCGCCAGCCATGTTGTGCAGGGTGGGCTCTGACTCTCAGAGGTTTGCTGAGACAGCACCAGGAAGATGACTCGTTCTGCATCTTGTGCTTTTCTGGGTCACCTCCCCTCTCCCTGGAAATAACTATTCAGAAATCAATGATTTGCAAACACGTCTGTTGTCATTTTACAATGACAGTTCTATAAATTTGGAAATAACTTCTATCCAAACATTAAATCTCAATTTACTGTGCATTTCTCCATGTCTTGATGTGCTTGCTGTTGGCATGAGACTAAGGGTCTGAACCAAACACCTACTTAAAAACTGGCCAGTTGGATCCATCTGAGCTCTGATGGGTTGCTAGTGTCTCCCGCAGAGGCAGGCGGTGGAAGCTCAGTGCGCAAGCCCTTCCACCTGTTCGAACACCAGCACCACAAAAAGGCTTTGTCTGATGACACAAGGATCGGAGGCCCTTAATAAGGAAAGACCCAGAATCTTCTCAATTAATAGCCGTCCTCTGAATTAACTCTATTCAGATAAATAATGTTTGAGAAATAAATGCGTGTTCATTTACATGGGAGCCATCTGTTGGTTTATAAGTGTGTAGCTTATGATACTTTATGAAAAGTGAGCCCTGCAAGGATCGCTTGCCTGTGCAATGTCATAGAGCCCGTCAGTACCAAACACAGTGGAAGCTCGGACGTTTGACCAACAATGACTTCTGTTGTCTGACTCATTAGTGGCTCTAACTGTGGGTTTTTAAGGCAAATGCAAGTTCTGGGGGAAGTCTTTGGGGGTAAATAATCATCTCCGAATCTTCAGAGTATTACTGACTGCTTGCTTCTGTGACCCTGTGTTCACTAGCGCAATGGAAAATTGATTACTTCTTTGTTTCACCTGGCCTCTCACAGTTGAATGAATGTGGTATATTAGTTTGAGCATATTTCCATTATGGAATCCTATTGACTTATTCAATTGGTCAAAGTTAGGGCACGTGATTGGGGGCATTCCCTTGTCAGTGAGAGTCACAGCTAACTCATTTGCATGGGACTTTACAGGAATACCAGTGTCGGTGTAAGAAACATCCAAACCTGTAGAGAATTTTTCTGAGTTTATTTGAGCTGAGTTGATGACAATTGCTGGGAAGCAAGATTGATGACAGTTGCTGGGAAGTAGGTTATAGTAATCTCAGCAAATGGAGAAAATGCTCCAGAGAATGGCAGTTTTTTTTGTTTTTGTTTTTTTTTATATATCACAATCAAAGGAGGAAATGTAAGGAGGATTACATGAAATTCATTGGTAGGTTAAGGGGGCAGGAGAAAGCAAAGCAGGATGGGGGAGTCTCTCGGACTGGATAAATAGCTAAGTAGAAAAGGCATCCTTCTTTTACGTCGGTGGGTCCAGGATAGTTGGCAACGAACATGTATAGCACATGGATGTGGTGTGGGGAACAAGATAACAACAGGGGAGAGGGGGCTTCTGGGGCCTCATGGTTTGGTGCCAGTGGTTGTGCCTTGAGGGGTCTGGAAAAGAAGATTACTCTGACATTTCGAAGATACCTTATCTTAGATACAAAAAGACAATAGAGAGGCTCACTTGAAGACTGACTTTTGTCGAGGAAGCTACAGACCTAGAACATGACTAACCACCATGACCCATATTTAGTCAGGAATTTTTTAAAAAATTAAATTTATTGGGGTGACATTGGTTAATAAGATGATATAGGTTTCAAGTGTACATTTCTATGATACATGACCTGTATATTGCATTGTGTTCCCACCACCCGAAGTCAAATCATCTTTTGTCAGCATATACTAGTATTTGGTTCCTTTTACCCTTTACTACCCCCCCACCCCGCTTCCCTCTGGTAACCACCATACTGTTGTCTGTGTTTACGAGTTTCAGTATTTTTTTTTAAATATATTTTATTGATTCTTTACAGAGAGGAAGGGAGAGAGACAGAGAGTTAGAAACATCGATGAGAGAGAAACATCGATCAGCTGCCTCCTGCACATCCCCCACTGGGGATGTGCCCGCAACCCAGGCACATGCCCTTGACCGGAATCGAACCTGGGACCCCTCAGTCCGCAGGCCGACGCTCTATCCACTGAGCCAAACCGGTTTTCGGCGAGTTTCAGTTTTATATCCCACGTATATTAGTTAGGAAATTTTATGTTCAGGCCATCCTCTGTGGTTACTTTCAGTTCTGAGTTTGTAAGGCCTGCTCTGCAGGCCTCCCCTGAGCTTGTCAGATTTAGTAAATGGCTCCTTCGTCCTCACTGGGAATTACTGAGTCTTGCTGGGGTTTGAGGCTTGGGAACATGAGCACATCAGCATGGTGTTTGCTTTGTGTAGGGGATAGCTTGACCAAGAGAAAATGCCTTCGTGTTGGGGCGGGGAGTGATCTTATTCGGCCTGTGCAGGTAAAGTCTTGCCAGGTAAAGGGATGCCTGGAGAGGCTTTACCGTGTCTCCGTGTTTCCAACCATCACCTCCTGGAACTGCAGCATTCGCATGACTGCAGAGCTGCCTGCAGCAAGCTACGTCACCTGGGCAGAGCATCTAGTTCTAACCAGCAATCAGCACATCCTGCCACACTGTCTGCAGGACAAAACAATGACGGGTGCCCCACTGCAGCTTTGCAGTCTGTGGATGTGGGCAGCTGGTCATGTGAAGGTGGCAGGCCTGACCAGGCTTTTACATCAGGTTAAACACCCAATTCACAAATGTCTTCTCTAGCTGGTTACCTTGTTAACTGTCTAAATGTATCAAATTAAGTGACTAAATCTCCGATGTGGTGTTAAGCAGACACGAACCTCACGATTAGCTAAGGAGTGGTCATCAGTCTTAGATTGAATTTCAAATTCAGGAAAGCATCTTTTAATATAAAGTATTCTCTTTGCTTCATTCACGTGTTTATTTTAGTCTCATGTGTCCACTGCTGAGCCAGGAGCTGGGATGACAAAGAGGGAAAGGACAGAGCTGTAAAAACAATGAGGAGAGGTGGTGAAAGAAGCACGTTTCTGAGTGTGGAGCCTCATGAAGGAATCGCAGTGGGCTCCGGGAACAAGGCCCATGTCTGGAGGGGGTGTGGAGTGGGGGGAGGGGGGGTGGAGGGATAAATTCCAATGAGAAAGATGCCCTCCTTGCACCAAGAAAAAGAGAACATTATTGTCACCAGATACGGAGGCAATGCAAGATGAATCTCTACAAACACACCTACTAAGCTAACCCTTACTTCCATAATTTTCCCCATATATTTCCTATCCAATGTCACACCCCTGGCTCAAGCCCCTTTGTCTTGTGACATTCCCACAATTTATCATTATTTGTTCAAAAATATATATAAGCTTCTGGTCTAATGGTTTCTTCAGGTTTTCATTTTCCTTTTGAAGACTCCCATGTGCACGTGAGAATAGTAAATCAATTTGTGTGCTCTTCTCCTGTTAATCTGTTTTATGTCAGCTCAGCTCTTAGGCCAGCCGCAGAATCTAGCAGGGTAAAAGGAAGTTTCCCCCTTCTTACTCCTACTGCTCTTTACACATGATTTTGTTAAGATTCTTGGGGAATCAAGTATTTTTTTCCCCAAACTGAATTTCATAATTTGGAGAAACTTCGTATAAAACAACAGTCCAGCCCTGGCTGGTTTGGCTCAGTGGATAGAGCGTCGGCCTGCGGACTCAAGGGTTCCAGGTTCGATTCCGATCAAGGGCATGTGCCTTGGTTGCGGGCACATCCCCAGTGGGGAATGTGCAGGAGGCGGCTGATCAATGTTTCTCTCTCCCTTCCTCTCTGTAAAGAAATCAATGAAATATATTTAAAAACAAAAACAAAAACAAAAACAAAACAAACAAAAAAAAACAACAGTCCATAAACTGTGCTGAGGAATTGCTGGTTTCAATGAAAGTAGCACTTGGTGACTGGATGCATTCTTGATCAGGTCTCAGTTTCCTGGGTTACTTGGTACATATTGGTTGAGAACAATCAATTCTGCTGCTACAATTTACAATTTGATGAAGATATTGAGGAAAATGTGAAAAAATAGATGTTAATTAGAGGAGTTGAAGTGTGGGCTCCTTAAAATTCCTCATCAAACTTGTAGAAAGAGAGAAAACTTTAAATTGTCCTTGAGTGATTTGGAAATGCTTTGTGGTTTGCTTCTTCCACCAATCGGAACATCTTCAAGTTGGCTATGCAGTTCCAGAAACCACCACTAGTGGGTGCCCCTTCTCCATGAATCCATTGGCTTTTCCCTAACCTCTATGGGGGACCACAGCTGGCCTGAGACATACAATTTTTGTGCAAGTCCCTGGCCAGACAGGTGCTTGGTCATGCTAGGGACGTTGGAAGTTTGTCATGAGGCCCAGGTTAGAGCTTGAGAATCAACAAGGACTACTAGGGTTCTTTTGAATTTGAATTGAAATTATTAAAGATTTTGCTGTCCTGGCCGGTTTGGCTCAGTGGATAGAGTGTTGGCCTGCGGACTGAAGGGTCCCAGGTTCGATTCTGGTCAAGGGCATGTACCTTGGTTGCGGGCACATCCCCAGTGGGGGAGAGGGGGGTGGTGCAGGAGGCGGCTGATCGATGTTTCTCATCAATGTTTCTAACTCTCTATCCCTCTCCCCACCTCTCTGTAAAAAATCAATAAAAATATATTTTAAAAAAAGATTTTTCTGACCTTGGTGCAGTCATCAATTTAAATGGAGACTGCAGCCAAGAAATCGAGAGAAGGCTGAGACTCAGAAGGGCAGCAATGAAAGAATTGGAAAGATTGACAGGAGTAAAGAAGTGCACACCCTCATATTCCTATGCATGGATGCGAAAGTTGGACAGTGAAGAAGGCTGGTAGGGAAAAATGGATTCATTTTAAATTCAGTATTGGAGGAGAGCTCCACAAATACCCTGGGCCACCAGAAAGATGAACAAGTGGGTCCTAGAGCAGATTAAGCCTGAAACATCTCTGGAGGCAAAAATGACAACACTGAAGCTGGCCTATTCTGAGCACATCATGATCAAGTAGGGTTCTTTGGGAAAGACAAGAATTCTGGGAAAGAGAGAAGGCAGCAGGACAAGAGGAAGACCCAATATGAGATGGATTGACTCCATCACAGAAGCAGTCGGCATGAGTCTCCAGGAGCTGTGCCAGGCTGTTGAGGACAGGACACAGCGGACATAACATAGTCACAGGGTCATCAGGAGTTGAAGCCGACTCAACAGCACAAAACGCGTCGGGTTTTGAAGATTGGTCCTATT